GGTCTTGACTCCGATCTTCATTGCTAGCTTTTTGAGTAACGGGTGTATCCTGTGTATCACATGGTCTGAAATAGGCACGTGCCAGCCTTCGTATTCTTTTTTGTAACCATGTGTCATCATGATGCGCTCTATATTTTGTAGTTCAATTATCGTGTCATTCCACCTAGAAGGGTGCGTATATGTTCTTCTAACCAATACCTGGAATGCTGCGATATTATAAGTGTAAGGGTCGACTGAGTTTGCCAGTATAAACCATGGGATGTAGCTAGGTTTATAATATATACTAGTTTCAACCATTCCTCCATTGAGCCTGATGTTGATGTCCAAGAAGAGCATATATGCACCCTTCTAGGTGGAATGACACGATAATTGAACTACAAAATATAGAGCGCATAGTGATGACACATGGTTACAAAAAAGAACTAATACGAAGGCTGGCACGTGCCTATTTCAGACCATGTGATACACAGGATACACCCGTTACTCAAAAAGCTAGCAATGAAGATCGGAGTCAAGACCCAGCTAGCAGACGCACCACCATTGAATACAACCAATGATTTCAAGCTTTATATAAAAAAATAGCAACATAAACTGGCACCAGATTAACATACTGAAGGCCCCCAATATATATAAATTATTATGCAATGCAAAAGACAAACAGTACGATCTTAGGGCTCTGGGGGTATACAGTATTCCAGTGAGAGATGACAGATTTAGGCAAGAAATGGTGTACATCAGCTCCACGAAGCATTCCATCCAACAGAAAATCAGGGAGCACAAATATGACAGACTATGCTCGTTACACCACTGCCCTATCCACCTACGCCACCGAACTGGAGGTTCACGCAGAACTATCCAATGCCAGATTGATAAATAGAACCTTTCATACTGACCACATCAGGGCCCTCAAAACCCTGAAAATATACAGAGCTGGCTGGACAGGGAGATATATAAACACTAAAGATGGCAACGCACTTTCATACGTTTGGTGCTACGTATGCGAAGAACAAGAAATCGCCGACACTATGTAGCGTGCGCATATGTTTGAATTTATATAAAAACTCAATGTTCCTTCAAGAATCCTTTTAAGGATTAGAAACTGTTTGTTTTTTCTTGTAACCTGAAGCAGACCTTGAGTGAGGCTGAAACCAAAGTTTAAGCAGTACTGGAAAGTAAAGGTTAAATGAGTGAGTATGAGATTATTATTTATATATATTATAAAAGAAAAATTTACATCTATTCTATCTGAAATATTACTTAAATTTATATATTTTAATTTTTTATTTTCAGGTTTCATTTCCTTTTTGTAATATTTTCTTCTAATATTTTTTATGACATCTCTAGTCATCTGTATCAAGAATGTTACCAAAGATTACAAGTATTATATTTACTAATTTTTACAGTGGCTAATCTAGTCTGTTAGTTGCAATATGAATCTTTCTGATTCTGTAGTCAAGTTATATTTTTTGCTTTTAAGACTTCATTGAAAGTGTTAACTCAGAAATATAACAGCATAATTAAAGTCATTGATTAATCATGTTGATCAAAGAATATCGTATTCCTTTACCACTAACAGTGGAAGAATACCGGATTGCTCAATTGTATATGATAGCTGTAAGTAAAATTATTCTGTAAATAATTTCAAAATCCTATGTTTTAGATATTAATTAGGTGGTAATTTTAAAAATTTTCAGAAAAAAAGCAGGGAAGAATCAAAAGGCGCTGGTAGCGGAGTTGAAATTCTAGTAAATGAACCATATACTGATGGTCCTGGTGGAAGTGGTCAATATACTCACAAATTTTATCATATTGGCAGTCATCTTCCTGGTGAGTACATTATGTTTTAAATTTGAGAGATTTTATAATAACTTTGAAAATACAACTTGCTTTAATTTTATAAAAATAATTTAATTCAGTTAACTATTTTAATCCATAATTGGATAACTTGAATTTAGTAGATTGTATTTTTATTCATCATAGATATTAACATTGCATTGTATGCATTACATATATTAATAAGAAATTTTAAGATACAGACATTGATTGCTATTGATCTGTATATGTATATATTGGGGACCTTTTCTTAGAGGATCTGACAAATTTGATGTTGGAACCTCAAAGAAAAGGTCAATGTCAAATGTATATTGTATTTGTGATTTTTAATATCATGTCGGTTTTTAAATTGTTAACCATCTGTTTGTTGTTGGAATATTAAAAAGTATTTGAATTGACCCAGAATTATNATAATTTAATAATTTACAATAATTAAAAAAAAAATGAATAATTATACTTAATCTAAATAACTGTATGGCATGTCTTGTATAAACATTCTATCCAAATTATATTTCATTAATTCTTTAAAAATTTAGCATTTCAACAACAGTTTCATACATACACAACATATCAATACCAGCACACTTGAAATTAAGAAATATTTACTAACATTTTCATCTGTTTATAATAGACGGCATATAACACAGAATAAAATGGCTACAAATGATTTTAATGTAGCAGTTTTGTTCTGCATTATATGCCTGAATATGTCTGTTATAAACAGATGAAAACATTAGTAAATATTTCTTAATTTGAAGTGTGCTGGTATTGGTATGTTGTGTATGTTTATTCTATTCCAGTATTGGAGAGTTATTGACAGTTTCATATACTCTTTCTTATCATTTTTAGCTTTAATGTATTAAAGATGAATCTATAGCTCATGAATTAAATTTCATTCACAGGATTCTAATTATAAAAGAAAATTAAAATCAGAAATTCTTTTTAGTGTATTATTTAAATTTTAACTTATCCCATACTATAAAAAATAATACTTCAAATATTTTTGAAACAGTTTTTATTTTAATGTTCACCATTATTAAAATAATAATACTAAAATAATATTAAAACTAAAAAATTTCAACTGTATTTTTTTAACATAAATTTTGTCAATAAATTTAAAAAATTAGAAACAAATTTTTAAGTATTATATTTCATTACATTAATTCCTTTGTTCAAAGAAGGGAGAGCTAGCAAAAATAATTCTTAGTACAAAGAAACATATAAAATGGATTCCATACCATTCATTTATGGATTCAATATGAATAGAAACCTTTAAACTCAAACTGTATTTTTAGTTCAACAAAATAAAAAATAAAAAAACCTTCACAATATTTTCTTTATCAAACAGTATTGTTGGATAGTTTCCAACAGAATTATTTTATACATTTATAGTTTATAACAATTCTGTTGGAAACTATCCAATAGAACACATTGGTTTAGTGCACAGAAACAAATAATAAATTTATAGGATGAGGCTGGATATGTTTTAAATCACCAAATCTGTTTAACTGGTATTTAAACATACAGAAAGATATCTGAAAACTTATTGATTTTTATACCACGTATTATTCTAAAATGAAATTTATGCAGTAATCCCTACATTTACATTTTATTTATGTGAATTAACTTTATTTAATTCAATTGAAAAACTTTTGAATTTTAAGTCATTAACTTTAGGGAAATAAATGATAGTTACATTGTCTTTTTTTTATCATCAGTAACCTTTTATATAGAGATGTATTTAAAAAAACTTTAGTTAAAACTTCTCTACCACAGTAAGAGTAAAATACTACAGTTGAGAATTTGGAACCGATCCTTACTTTAAACAGTTTTCCATGACTCCATTTACATACTGTTTTTGCAGAACTAATTACTTGCATAAATGAAGGGATTACTATATAGCTACAATAAATAAACATCCTAAATCTAAAATTCATATAAAATATTTTGGGTAAAATCTTTTACCCAAATAAACTAGTAGTAGAATTAAGATTTATCTAAAGATTATAAAAATCAGTTACAATTTGTATAATTAGTTATGTAAGTACTACATTGTGCCAAGTTTTGTGAACTTGGCACAATGTCGATAAATATATCAAGTAATGGCTTTGTTCAGTTAGCAGTTGTCTGATTTATTTATTTGTAAAGTCAGTTGATACCAAACATGATCATGAATTTTCTAGACTGCAAATTTTGCTAATTCATCATTTCAATTACCAAAATGACAATTTTAGATCATAACCTATATATATTGAATATTAATACAAATAATATAAGAATGTATTTATGTATATAATTTATAGAATAGTAAAAATGTAGGGAAAACAGAAAAATAACAATTTTGATAAGTCATTATTAATTAACATCATCCTCAAATAAAATTTAAATAAAAAAAAATTTTAATATGTATATTTAAGTTCTCTCTCTTTTTTCCCTATGAGCACTAAGAGGGCCTTTTTAACAAGCCCATTATTGGTTCAACCAGGCAGCCAGGTGGTGAAGGTTGGACCCAATATATCTGAATGGTCAACCTCCAAAAAATTGCTAGGGTGTTTCAACCCATCCATATTAAATCCCAGATCTCCCCAAACACTAGCTGCCACCTTAACTGCTAGGCCATGTAACTGTCTATTAAAATTCTCGCAACAAAACACTTTTATGTATCTAAAGACAACTAGAAAAACTATTTCTTTGATAACATAACACCAAGTCAAAATCTTCTATAATGATATATAATTAAATAATATTTTGACTTCACAACAATTGACAAAATAAATTCCTTTTACATTAAAAAAAATCATAAAAATGAATTGAAAAAGGATAAAATTTCTCTAGAAGTAACCGTTGAACTCAAAAAGAACATTGATTATATCGACAAGTAACACAAGAACATAGAATATCTGGGTTACTTCTCGAGAATTGAAAAAGATTCATTTACATGATTTATGTATGGTGATAAACTTAACATTTCAATTTGAAATAACATTATTAAATAATTAGCTTATTCCATAGCTGGATTTAGAGTTGTTTCATCCTTTAGACATATAGGTAATTTTTCTCTCTATCAAATAGATAATTTAAAAGCATGAGGCCCTAAACCAGTGATTCACAAAGTGGGCACTACTATCCCTAGGGGCAGTGAGTAAATCTAGTGGGTGAAAAGAAGCAAGGGGACAGCAGGAGGCACTGGATGCAGAGTCCTGACCAAACAGTGATCATAGGCAAGAAGTCTGATCGCTGACAACCTTTCCCCTTCCTCTGTTAAAAACAGGTAAAAAACATTTTATTTAATGGTTTCCAGATGTTGAGAACAATGTAAGAACAAAAAGTGTGAGTTTCATAGAAAAGCTTTTCTAAGATTATTTCCAATTTTTCTCTCACAATGGAAAACAGGTTGGGGGCACTGAGTGTAAATTTATGGAACCAAGGAGGCAGTGGCTAGAAAAAGTTTGAGAATCACTGCCCTAAACTGTACCTGCACAATATGAAGCAAAACTTAATTGATTAATTAATTAACATATAAAAACAATTTCAAATAATGAAATAATTTTAGTATCAAACAGAAATTTTAGCTTCTAAAACTTCTCAGAGAAAATTATTCTGAGTTTATTGTAAATATATAATAATTTTAATCTAATATGAATTAATCTTATATTATTGATACATACTAATTAATTTAAAATCTATCTGTAATGAGAGTAATATAATATTGTGTTTAAATTTACCTAAAATACATAAAACTGTCCCATTTCATATCTGTTTTCTTTTATTTCAAGATTCAAATCTTAAAATATTTTCAGAACCTCAGATTCCATTTTCATTTAATTTTTTAATTAAATTTCCAGCAGATAATTCAAATATAAAATGAATGAAATTCAATTTACAATCCATAATTTCTAATTATAGATTTGAGTTTAGATTTTATATATTCCACATGTTTTGCATTTAAATTTAAATATTTACATATCTAAGATCTTTTCCAATTTAAGATATTCAAAAACACAAAAAAATATTTTTGCATTTATGTAAAAAATGTTTAATTTATAAACATTTGAATTTTAAATTCAAAAATTAAAAACATTAAATTCAACTAAAATACATGTCTAGAATTTGTACATTTCAAATGGAATCTTAAAACATTTTTATACTTAAATTTATCAGAAAGAAGAGTGGTATATAAACTAAAAATGGAATACAAGACTTTGAAATCATTTTTTAAATTGGAAAAAAATCAGTCTTGGAGACAGTATATAAATGTTAAATATCAAATTGTATGATACTTAAGAGAAAACACTTTCTTCTTCCTTGTTTATTACTTATTATATTTTTTATATTTAAAATAAACAGACTTCTTTATCAAAATGGTGTTCATTTTTCTAAATTTGTTACATGGGACAAATGATTGCCATATTAAATTGGGTTACTCAAATTACTCAGCATTTACTATTAATATAGTAAATGCTGAGTAATTTGGCACTAGAGATGTTGCCTAACATCTACCTCTAGTACCAAATTACTCAGTATTTAATTATTAGCAGCAGCAGTAATATAACCCAATTTAATCCAGCAATCGTTTGACTTTAATATAATTATCAGGCCTTGAGATGTTTATATTTGTAACATGGGGTCAGAACAAGTTGATGAGGTTATTTCATCATTGGTGTTCTGTTTACTATATATGTATTGTTGAAAAATTTTATATTGTATTTCTTACATGCATTTTTATATTAATGTATTTGGTGCATATTAATTTTACAGATTCATTATGTTTTTTAAAACAATAATAATCCACGAAAACCTTTTTCGTGGATTATTATTACTCAACGAAGTGTTAAGTTGTTGGAAGTCGTTTTGTTTTTTAAAACATTATAAGATTATTTTGTTTTTGCAGAAATATTTAGCATTTAAACAATCTTCATTCAGATTAGTAAGAGTATATAGGATTTCTATATTTGAAATCACAAATACAGTAAATATATTTTTGTTTATGTTATATTAATTTGAGATCATATTTGCTATGTTAATCATACTTTGTCATATATCTCTTATTAAGTATTATTGTTATGATGAGCTAATTATCATTGAATTTTATTATTATTTTTTTAATTATTTTTACAAATCAATTATTTGACAAATAAGAAGTGTAAATCCTTAAATAAATCATTATGAAACAGTTATTTGAA